TAAAATGAAGAAAATGTTTTATGTTTTATTACTATAAAACACTAACACTGCAAAAGATTTCATTTTTTTTTTATTATTTCTGTGACATTCCCTGGCCTTCTGCATCCCAATTTCAAGGCCTTCTACACGCAAACGGGCTGCCCATTTTGCCAAAGTGCTAGGATGAGATATTTCATCTGTTAAAATGAAGAAAAAATATATAACAGAACTGAACATGCATATTGGAGCAAATCATTTTCACCAAAACCAAAGGCTGATAATTTAGGAATTGGAGGTTATTTATTTCCAAATTATCAGTTGATAATTCTTAAACAAAAAGCATTTGCTGACAAAAGGCCTTAATATTTTTCACATACAATTTTTTTTTATCGGCAACTTAGATATAATTTCGGCAAATTGTAGTCTCGATCATAATTACACAATTCAAGTTGTACAATGTCATTTTCAGTGCCCTGGCAATTATATATCCGTTACTGCTTAACAAAATAAAAAAGAAAGTCGTTAAAAACTATCCCGCCTGAGCCCTTACGTAAACACACACCCGTGCCCGCATCACTTCACGAGATTTACTGCAGTACCTACTCTAATCCAATTAAAATAACCCTTTTTTCACCCTAACTTACCCTATTGTTATCAAGATTCAAGATTTCAAGATTTTTTTTATTACGCTCTGACACACAAAGTGTGTAACAAGAGGTCAAACAAAATAACATCAATCAAAGAAAAAACGACAAAGAGAGTAGATTACACATGGACAGATTAAGCATTATTTCATAGACAGATTCAGCAATATTTCATAGATAGATTCAGCAATATTTCATAGATTCAGCAATATTTCATAGATAGATTCAGCAATATTGCAATATTTCATAGACAGATTCAGCAATATTTCATAGATAGACTCAGCAATATTTCTTAGATAGATTCAGCAATATTTCATAGATTCAGCAATATTTCATAGATTCAGCAATATTTCATAGATTCAGCAATATTTCATAGATTCAGCAATATTTCATAGATAGACTCAGCAATATTTCTTAGATAGATTCAGCAATATTTCATAGATTCAGCAATATTTCATAGATAGACTCAGCAATATTTCTTAGATAGATTCAGCAATATTTCATAGATTCAGCAATATTTCATAGATTCAGCAATATTTCATAGATTCAGCAATATTTCATAGATTCAGCAATATTTCATAGATTCAGCAATGTTTCATAGATAGATTCAGCAATATTGCAATATTTCATAGATAGATTCAGCAATATTTCACATTGTTTGATGTACATATGTATCAGATGTATTGCTACAAAGTAACAGTAAGGTTATACATGAACAGATTCAACATTATTTTCTTACATGTGAAACAGTAAGTTTACACATAATTATTTCATACATGTGAAACAGTAGGATTACACATGAACAGATTCAGCATTAGTTCATGCCAGTGACACAGAAGAATATACATGAACAGATTTATCAGCATTAGTCATATATGTATTGGATACTCAATTTTCACAGCAAATTATCTTCACTGCCATAATCATAATGCAAAGGATAGTATTTTTGACATACTGATTTATTTCAATTGTTATTTTTTTATAATTATTTGCAGTTTTACAAGAAATGTACTAACCCTTTTGGTTAATCGTTTGTTACATATTGTGAATATTCCTTTCATTTTATCAACATTTGGATTGGTGTAATAATATTTTGGAATAAATTTTTCCCTAATCTGGCGTATTGATTCTTGTTGACATTTAAACAAATAATGAAATTCATCTCCTGTTTCATTCTATTACAAAAAGTACATTCTCTTTCCTCTCGAGGAATTCCCATCCAACGGCCAGTTTCCAGGGGCAGCGGAAAGTTTGACGAGCGAAATTTGCAAAACACAACACGATCCCTCTTGTTTAATTGAGTTTAGTAATTTTCAAAACCAAAATCCACAGAGCACCCCTCGGAACTAGACAATATAATCATAATTGGATAATTGGCGATTCTGGTATCAGACGGAGTCGATGTGTTGACAGGTGACCATTTTGTAAAAAAAACCACAAAAGAGCGCCAATATTCTGACCTTGCCATTCAACAGAAATGCATTCAGTCGTGTCATCGTAGTACACAAGCGGCGTCCGGGGGCTAAATTTGCCTGTAACGATTGCCCTAGAAACAGTTATCGACAAAGTTTTGTTTTCTTTTGTCGACAGTAACTTAAATAAAAGCCCCTCGTCGACATTTTCGCCAAGAGCAGTTTCAATTCGCTAATCATGTTTTACTTTCGCCAATGGCGACCGCCAGCGCGAGCCCTGAATTTTGTACACGTGCTGATCATAGTTATAACATATGCTTTGTGGTATCTTTCAAAGTTAATAATCATATAACAACATAAGACGTAGACATAAAATTATGTATTTTATTTTGGTTTCGAGTATGCTTGATTTACATAGATTAACGTCGGTAGGTATGGCTGAATGTCGGCGGCTGAATTTATCGACAATTTTACAGGTAAATATTGACATCACTAATACACGGCTCATATCGCATGAGTAGGGGCCGATGAGGCCTGCTGACATCTCGTGATTCTCCACGTCCCGATCGCGGGGGTTCATCGCGATTCGACTTGTCATCGCAAACCATCGTGATGGAGTCTTGATGACCGATCGGCATAACTGATCTATCATCGTGAAACACGGTGATACGAGCATGAGGGGCACGCGTCACCCTAAATTGCGATGATTAGCGTTTCACTTGGAATATATATATATATAGGCCGTACTGTACGATGAAAGGTAACAGATTTTCCACAAGTGTATCAACACTTATTTCAATCATTGTTTGTATTATGTACTACATATTGTTTGTGAATAAAATAAAGTTTAAACTAAAGTGTGATGGATTCGCTCAGTCATAACAGTTCATATTTGTAAGACGAGTTGACAAACACATCGTCTGTTTTCAGATTCCATTTTTATTTCTTCCAAACATCTCTGTGACTTGGATTTAACATAAAATCTTCATGAAAAAAACGAAAACGGTACGAGATATCCGGAAAGCCTGTATCACACACAGTGAGATACAGTTACCAGTATCGCTAATTAACACAATCGTATCTCCATCACACCCATAAGTTAGTATGAATATAACAAAAGGATAAGAGAATAGCAAGGTCTTAATGGCTGTATAATTATCGGCGGTAATTTAGGATACCATAGACTGAGATGTGATGTACGTATTGTTTGTTTGAACACCAGGTGTAATGAGTACTGTACATGTGTACTTGTGCTCACACGGGTTGTTTTGGCAGAATTAGTCCTGCTGATATAAGTGTTTTATGACAGCAAACGTGTGTTTGTTGTTTTATACGGCCGCCGCACGACGGGGCATATTATAAAATCACGTCGCGCATGGTGTCCGGTTGATATGTCGAGTAATTTTAAACAGATTAACTTCAAACTCCGTAGTAAGGTTAATTTCCGAAAGAACTCGATAGTTTCGATAGCCATCATTGTCCGACAGTAATTTAGGGAGTTATGTCCCTTTACTCATATAAGCTCAGATGAGTTCGATGACTGTAATTTAAGAGTTACATCCCTTTATGCAATTACTCAAACGATGTCAGCCAAATATCTGCAGTTGTTGGATTAACTTCAAACTTCATAGAAAAACTCATAACCATGAGAGCTTAGATGTTATCGATACACACCATTTACGGAGGTATGCCACTTTATTGAATTGCCGAAATGTTGTCGCGAGTAATTTTCAATAGAGTAACTTCAAACTTCATGGGAAGGTTAAATTACTGAAAAAATGGAGTGAATGTAATAACAATTAAATGCCCATAATTATTAGACTTATTCTCCTTGGCTTTATTTAGGCAAAAACACAACAACATTTGTACTTTATGTGAAAACTTTGGTAATTAAGTGTTTATTAATGATATAATAATATCAATAACAATTTGTGTGTTCAATAATAGGAATCAGATCTTGATTACTGTGGAAGTATTGAGCACGTCTTAGAAAATTGCAACTCGATAATATTGTAATCAGCATTGCTGTCTTATACGTCCGCTAAGATAAGCGTATTGTGGTACATGTTTCACGCACGGTGTTTGTAACATCTGTCCATCCGCCAGTCCTCTTTGTATTTTACATTGTGACCACAATTAGTCCATTTCCTGGCAAATCATCTCAGATCTGGTACGTTTGTTGGCAATATATGAGGATGATAACGTATGGAGATGTTGCGTTGTTTTATTATGATAGTTATATTGCCCGTTTTCAATCAACTAGCTTATATAGAGTTTAAGCTCGAGTTCCACAGTTTTCAACTTATTCCTTTGGCATTTGATGTGCTATGGTCATTGTGATTGATGATCGCCCTTCAATTATCGCTGGAGATTTATTGCGAATATTGAAGGACACTAACGATGTCATGGATGCATATATTTTCAGCTTTACTGCCGATTTGATTTCTGGTAATCTACATCGATCCTGAGTCTGTTGTTGTACTAGAGCGGTTAAATTTACTCAGCTGTCGCGGAAAACACTTAGAAAGATACCAACAGTCCTGGAATTTGACCTTTATCGGTGGGTGTATATCTACATGAAAAAGATGAACTTGCTATGAATCGGATTTGTCCATCACGGCATTCCACCGTGCTACATCCCTGCTCTCCGTATCCCATGGTGTGTACTCCTCCGTGTAAGACGACAGTATAGGTATGATCTCGTGTAATTTTGATGATGTGCTGGAATTCTGTATTACACAGTGTCTCATTTGTTAACACCGTGTGAGTTTCCTTACATAGAATGTCACCGTCCTGACTGTAGACTCCTATTAGAACATTCTGATCGCTCCCACACGACCCATAAAGCTGCAGTCCATGCAGGAACATGTCAACTGTAGAGACAAAAGATATGGAATCATTAAGATTCAATGAATTCCATGGACTGTTCCTCGTTCTCGTAAATCTGTTTATGCATTCGAATTTTCCTTTTACTGATTCTCTAACGTTTCGTTGGTTCACGCTGAATTCTGTACACGGATATGCTTTGTTGTCCTGCTGAATCTCATGACGCTCACTAAATGTTCTGTCGTCAGGACATCTCTCGTAATGACATGCTGTAACAAATACTTCGTGTCCATGATAGGGAACCTGACAGTATACAGGATGTCTCCCAGTACATTCCGTCTGTTTGTATCCGTTAACTCCAGACCTTGACGTCCACACTCCGCCTCAGACCACCGAATCACCGCCTCGTACACCACGCTCTCCTCCACTGCTAAATCGACCGACTCTGCGATACTCTTCACACAGACGCCACACAGGTCAACGAAACTGGTAGACTTCAGTACTTCTTCTGGTGATCTTGCGATCATATTAACACAGTCCTCCCTAATGCTTTCCTCCGTATAAATATGGGCCTGTTCCAGTAGTAGGCATACATTATCGGTAGTAAGAGAACTCTTCAGGAAGGTTTCACACTCTTTGACAAGACGATCCACCATGTATTTCCTCGCAGCTGACAGGACAGAGGTTGCGGTGTTGACGGTCAGTTCTATGGTGTCTGTATACAGATACCTAAATGTAAATAAAAAATACTCTTATTCCAGCAATGATACACCTTACAACACGACATCACATACAAAATATCCATTTTACTCTTGATAGTTTTTTTTTTATATCGTAAGAAGACATGAAGACAGAAATACGACCATAATTCAACTTGCTGGTAAATGCAAGTATCGTTTTATTTATTTGATACATTTTGTGTATGTTCTGGAATTGTGAAACAGTCAATCTTACCTCAAAAACATTGTGAACACCTCTTGCTCAATATCCGGAATTGCTATTTCGCCTTTTTCGGCGAGATTTCCCTCAAACATGGTGTAAAATACAGGA